ATTTATTACACGACTCGGGCAGTCAGAGGGCCAATAACTAAAATCAACCAATCAAAATGCTCTATTGCCTGTCCAATATTCTCTAAGTATTGGACCGGGCACTGTCCCGAATGGTCCCGAATGATACAGCACTTGTGTTCCTTTGAACTTCAGTCGTATAATAAATCTCTTATTAACCAAGCTTGTTTGGGACCATACTGGAAGAATATCGGCCCTTGGTCTTTTTTGTACGGACCGAGCAGAGCTCGGTCCGTACTGTCAAGACCTTGGGCTGATATTCTCCCAGTACGGCCCTCGCACTTGGTTAAGAAGATATACCTACTGACTGACAGAGAAACAAATGTTTTCCCATTTGACCTGATCCACCTCAGTTGTTACATACTAATTTGCTTTCATCAACTGAGTTGATAAATGCAAATTGGGCATTGTAAAGGATTTGTAAAGTTGAAGTTTCAAGCGTTTGCCCTTCATCATGCACTCTGACAAAGGAGTAAGGCTTGAAGTGTCAGCATTAGAAAATGTTTACAGCGGCCTATTTCCGTTATAAACTCAGTTGTTAAAACTAAAATATCTTCTATGATATTCCCTGCAAACACAGACAGCAGTTTGTTTAGAAACTTGCCTCCTCCACCTTGGTCATTAGGCATTTTATGATATGACCTATAAACAACTTGGCTGCAAAATGTTACTGGCAAAGAACATTTCAACCATTTATCATTCTTCAAGGTCAAGAGAAAGCAGAAAAACACTAAACATGGATTATTATATTTATTTTATGTAATTAGATTAATTTTAGGGTTCTCTGTTTGTTATGCATGAATCAATTTGAAGATTCAACTTCCCCAGCACCCTTTCTGGGTAACCTCCAGGCATTTGACTTTTGTCTGTGCCCAGCGGGGATAAGGGAATTTGAACCTTGCCTGGCTGGGGTGAGGAATTTAAATTGGAAGTGTCAAGTCTTTCCAGCAGAATACAAAATTAATGTTACATCTTTAAATATGGAGGTAGTAAATGGCAAATGGCTCAGAAAAAAGGTCAACAAGGTCTTGGTTTTAAAGCTTTGTCAATTTGTAGAAAGGCACTGAAGCTGATTTTGCCTCTTACAGGAAAAATTGCATAGGGCAATTGAACACAAATTTACCTGGAAGCTGGAATTTGAAATTGAAAACAATCTTCAAAAGTTCAAATGCTCAGTTGGGGGTATGTCTGGCTATGGGGGGGTATGTTGAAGCTTTTAATTGATCAATGTTTATTTATTTTAGCATTTTACACAGATGACACTGTCTCAATTGCAAATAAAAACCTTTTCACTAGTCACTTAAAGATGACTATTTAATACTGCAGTAGTGACTGTCATTTCTTTTTGCTGTTGATTAATATCTTTATTAGATGTCTCTTTACTTGTGTATCAAATTGAGTTTGAAATGAGAATGATTATTTTTAGGCATTGGAGGAACTTGCTAAAACTCTAAATGCGATGAAGATAATTTTGTATGGATCTGGAGGTATTTTCATTCTTCTTTCAAGTAATCAATACACCTCATTATCATGACCCATTATTGTTTTGCTGGTAGACACACTTCCTGTACCGCATGCAGCTCCTAGCCTTGTGGAGCATCACTACTGATAGCCTGTACAGTGATAGCCCTCATTTTAGGCTTTACTTTCTTCAACATTTCCAGTTTCTCTTGTGACAAGCTTTTTCAGACCTGCTGTCAAGCTGAACAAGGATGATCACTTTTTTTTTATCATTGCTTGCTTCAATTAAACAGCTCTACTGTGGTATAGTTGTCTGGGATTTCACTAAAAGGAATGTACACAAGAGTAAATCTCACAAAAGGATGCTTGGAGATTGACATTAACCTCAAAATAAGCTAGCTGTCCATGTGATTTTTGTCAGAGATTGTTATCTTAGCTGCTGTTATCTCCCTTACTGTAACACAGTAGAATAGCAAAGAAAAATGTGGAATCTTTTCTCAGACCAAGGTCCAGTGACGGAACAAGTGGCCCAGCTTGCACAAGAGACATACAGTCATGATGTCTTCAGTCATCTTTTAACAGAGCTTCACAAACTAGATTTTGAGGTAATTTACTTTTTGTTGATTAAATTTTTCACAAACTAGCTTCACAAACTAGATTTTGAGGTAATTTATTTTTTGTTGTTTAAATTTTTGAATAAATTGTCTTTTTTTGTGTTAGCTGCTTCTAAGTTAATATGCTTGTACCATCATGGTTTGTGAATCTGTTCTCTGTAATTGAATTTCAAGCAAAAAGTGGTAAAAAATGGAAGGTTTTGTCTCCTTCAGGGCAATTCCCTTCTCTCATTTTGCAAAATACTGGTAGCTTTGTGAATCTTATTTGATGGTGTGTGTAACATACGCATTGGGAAATTTCTTATGAGTTGCATAGAGATCAATCACTCTTCTACAACAACTGGATTTTGCCCTTTTTTCTTCTATTTTTCACTGGAGTGTCTAGCCTGCATTATGAGCTCCTAGTTCATGCAAATGATGTACACAACACAGTTGATGAGCATAACACTTGCCCACCATTGCAAATTAAGAGTTTGAACAGCAAGTTATAAAGTTGTTCATTCATCTGTCAATGAAATCAATCCTTTTAACCCTTCACACTGTAACATCAGTAAGCATATTCTCCATACTGTTCTCTATAAATTTCCTAAGGTGCTGACAAGGAGAATTTGTTTAACAATCAAGAGCTCAATATTTAATTTGTGTTCATTTCTTTTATGATCCATTCAGGGGTGATATTGTAAGGAGAAATTAGACGCTAGTCACTCATAGGGATCAAATGATCCAGGGCTACCCTGATTCTGACAATTATTACTGACAAACTTAATACGTGTTTCTTTCTAATCCAACCGATGAGATCATAGCAAAAACCTACACTAGTCCTCTAGTGCTCTTTATTGAATAAATTTATAGAGTTCATTTACTGAAGCAAAAAAGTTTCCCTTGTGACTCTGATGATGCCTTCTGCTTCAATTATGCTATCATCAAGTTGAAAATGTCTGTCACGATGACTAGTCTTGAAAACCCCTTTACACGACTACCCTCACATGCAATATTGATTGACATCTACGATGTAATTTACTGGGTCCACCAGTAAATGTCAGTAATAGCCATTTAAGTCTATTTATTTGACTGTTTATTTTATTTGTAGTTGTGTTTATTCATTGCAATGCTGTTCAGTAAGGAACTTGCTTTCCATTTTCTTTTGTCTCATTTAGAGTAAGAAAGATGTTGCTCAAATATTTAACTGTATTCTCAGAAGGCAAATCGGAACTCGAAGTCCAACTGTGGAGTACATTTTTGACAACTCTGAGATACTTTTTATCCTAGTCAGAGGGTAAGCGATCAAATGTTTGGTGATCTCTTTTGCAAGGGGATAATTTGGCTCTATGGTAGAAGATAATTACGGTAATAATTATTTCTTACTACTAAGCTATATCTATGCCTGTCTGTTTTTCACCATTCTTGTTTCACTAATTTTGATTTTTTTCCTATTGTTTTAGTTATGAAAGCCATGAAGTGGCTTTGAACAAAGGGATCATGCTCAGGGAATGTGTTAAACATGAACCCTTAGCCAGAATTGTCCTAGAAAGTGAAAGGTTCTACAAGTTCTTTGAATATGTTGAAATGTCAACTTTTGATATAGCATCTGATGCATTTTCAACATTCAAGGTGTGTCAAATCAGCAAATTGATGCAATGTGCTGTTATTTATATTTTGTTTTATTTACCTTTGTTTGTCCCCTTTTGTTGGTTCTTATCAAACCTCAGGGAAGGGTTTTGCATATATATGATATATTATTTATAGTGATTTCATTCTAAACTGAATTTGTACCAGTTCTTAATCGTTAACATGATTATTTTTCTGCATGATATTATTTTTCTGAGCCATAAATGACTGTCCATGGCAGTTGACAATAATATGTTTACACTGGCTGCTTAAAATTGTACAAGTTCCAAATATATGAATTGTTAAACAGATAAGTCATAAAATTAGCTTTAAATACTGCAGTCAGTGATGACTACTTAACCCAGTCACTTCCAAAATCTCATTAACAATTCTCTTTACTGTCTGCCATACAATTCTTATGATGTTAACCCAGTCACTCCCAAAATCTCATTAACAATTCTCTTTACTGTCTGCCATACAATTCTTATGATGTTAACCCAGTCACTTCCAAAATCTCATTAACAATTCTCTTTACTGTCTGCCATACAATTCTTATGATGTTAGTTTGGAGAATTTGGATCTCCCTATAATTCCATGTTTGATATTTTTCTTTATTGTCATCATCAGTCTGCTTGATATTGTATCTATATTATAAGGAGAAATTCTGTCTTGGCCACTCTTGGAAGTTGAAGTGTCAAATTAATGTATTGGTCATCTGTTCCTTACTTCCTCTCTCTTTCTCTCTCTTTCTCTCTCTTTCTCTCTTTTTCTCTCTCTTTCTCTCTCTTTCTCTCTTTTTCTCTCTTTTTCTCTCTCTTTTTCTCTCTTTCTCTCTTTTTCTCTCTTTCTCTCTCTCTTTTTCTCTCTTTTTCTCTCTCTTTTTCTCTCTTTCTCTCTCTTTCTCTCTTTTCCTCTCTCTTTTTCTCTCTCTTTCTCTCTCTTTCTCTCTCTCTCTCTCTCACTTCTCACATATTCAGGAGCTCCTTACAAGGCATAAGATTCTGTGTGCACACTTTCTGGAGCAGAATTACGAAAAGGTAACAATTACATGTATGGCTACTTCTGCACTTTACTAACAATACAGTACATATTTATTAGGTACTTAACTTACATACCTTACACTATGTAGAAGAAATGTGGTTCAATACAGCAGTCTGTAGTTTGCATGGTCACAATTGAATACCAGGACTGGCTTTTATTTCTAGGGAAATGGAAGCTCTTGTTTTAGTTCTTTTTTAAGCAGAGTTTTCACGTGTGGATATATGAAGCATAGGAAAGGGTGATAGTAGGGAATCTGATAATTATGCAAATTTCCTGGCTTGAATTAGGACTACTTTTATAAGGAATGTGGGTAGAGCATGCATCTAATTAAGATGGTGGATTGACTGTTAAATGCAACAGATCAGTTGGGGAGGAATTTTTGTGGGGATGACAGCTCAATTCTGTTTCTTGTAAACACAGAATCATTGGTTTTTAGTGCAATCAATGTAATACAGTATAGTATATCCACTGGTTTACCTTGTGTCACTTTGTATGTTTAGACATGCAGTTCACCTCACCATGCAGGGATTAGAAACCTGTTTACAGTTTAAATTCAGCTAACTAGTGTCCATGAGTTGCATTAGCTTTTAACAAACTTATATTCATTTTAATGCTACGTATATGTTCCTCTAAATCTCTTTTGCTTTATTCTACTTTTCGTACTCAGTGATTGATGTTCTTGTCAGCCTGTTAAATTTATATTTTGATCTTCCTTTCCTTTAGTTTTTTGGACACTATTCCAAGTTACTACACTCAGATAATTATGTTACTAAAAGACAGTCACTAAAGGTAACCATTCAAGCAGATATATTTATTTTTAACTCTTTAAACTTTATTTCAAGTGAAGATGTGTATAGTTGAAATAATCATGGGATGCTTACTGCTAGAAATTTGACTCAAAGACTCTTTGGATGTTTTCATTTTATTTAATTTGAAATGTTACCACTCATGATATAAATTTTGACTTCTCTTGTGAGAAACAGAAATGATTCTGTGTGGTGACAAATACCATATACTGGGGTATTTAGTTAGTTGATTAACTTCTTGTTCTGCTCCTGTTACTGAGAAACTCAGATTGCTGTGAATGCGTTGCTTTGATTTTGTCAAGTTAGTTGTGTACTGACCAATTGCTGTAAGATCCAGGACACACAATAACACCACAAAATAATGCTGAGTAATTAAATGCTGTTAGTGGTTTCTAACAACATTCTATAAATATTTCTCAGTGAAAAAATAGCAATAAAATATTTGTATTTCTTGTGTTGACAGTTTTCTTAGTTTTACAGTTTGTAATAACAAGCTACTATTTGCCCTGAGCTGAATTTTTTTTTCCATTTGATAGCTTCTAGGTGAGCTGTTATTGGATCGTCATAACTTCACAGTGATGACAAAGTACATAAGTAATCCTGAGAATCTGAAACTGATGATGAACATGCTCAGAGACAAGAGTAGAAACATTCAGTTTGAAGCATTCCATGTATTCAAGGTAAGGTCTGATCTAGTCTGGGCGTTTAGTCCATTGTAGCTTCTCCTTCACTAAGAGAGGGTGGCCAGCCAAATGCCTTCTTTTCAAACTTTTGCTTTAAGGGCTGATGGAAAATGTACATTGATTAACATACTGTCAAACAGAATTAAAAAGCAGCCATTTCCCAATTCTGGGTGAAATTGAATGCATAATTTATCGGCAACGGGTTCAGATGTCTAAGTTTTCCATATTTAAAATTGTTTGCTCATGGTGGGGACAAGTTTACAGTTTTGCTGAATGGTTCTTACGTTTCATATGATGAAACCAGACAGTATTGAAAATAACCTGACCACCTCTTATTTCTTATTGACCCTGTACCTTCAAACTTATTAACAACCTTGCTGTGTGAGTCACATGTTTTACAAAGAACTCATTACAATGAGCCTGATGAGGTTTAAAACACAAACTTCTCAATGGAGAGCCCAATGCATGAACCATCAGACTGTAGAGTCAGACCTTTTTTTTGTTTTGTTTTTTTCATTGTTTGTTTGTGTCAGTGGTAACTTTATATGACTATGTTTTTTTTTTGTATTAAACTTAATAAGTATTTCTTCAAATGTATAGTTTTTTAATGTTGTTATTTCCAGGTATTTGTTGCAAATCCCAATAAAACCCCACCAATCCAGGAAATTCTTGTTAAGAACAAAGACAAACTTGTTGAGTTCCTGACTAGTTTTCACAACGACAGAACAGGTAACTTAATAATTGACATTTATAAGATCACGAAATGTTGAAAATCTTACTGGTCAGATCAGTCAGAAAGTCTAGTTTCTTTGACTCACTTACAACTCAGAATCTTGAACCTAGAATTCAGCATTGATTTTCAAATGAGGATCCAGTTGTAGAGCTTTTTTGATGCTAAGTTGACTAAGCTTTAGTGCTTTGGCATGTTTTTTTTTTTTTACCCTAAAATTGTCTCTCAAGATCTTTTTATGAGAAACGATTTGATAGATTTCTAACCTTGGAATCATTTTGTGCATTTGCTGATAGAATTTTGATTCTTGTTTCTTACAGAAGATGAGCAGTTTAATGATGAAAAAATCTATCTAATCAAGCAGATTAAAGAACTGTAATCACCTCAGCTTAAGAATTAATGTAAATCTTATTTTGTATCCAATATCAAGTATGTTTTTAACACCAGTGATCTTCACGTTGTCCAGAATGAATGAGCTATAGTACATCATACAGCTCTTGGCAAAACTGTCAGGGGTGTAAGCCAGGGAACCAGTGCCTATTTTGATGGAAAAATGTATCATGCTATGTAATAAGTGAGCTTAGAATACTTCTAACAAAGAGGAAGGTTCTTTGAGACGAACAAGAAAGATCGATTCATTAATGAGTGGAGCCCAAGGATACCATGTATTTGTATAAATTATATTATGAGTTGGAGATTTCAATCGCGCGATGGCTGATTAGGAGAAAGCGTAAATAAGCTATCACGCATAGAAAGCGAAAGGAAATGGTCTAATTGTATGAGTATAAATCTTCAAGTTATTCAAAACTTAACAACAAGACGGGCTTATCTTTTTATGTCATTTTGTTTGCAGCCATACACTGTTCACTTGGCTCAGTGTTCACAACTGAACGGAACAGTCAGCGAGTAGCTTAGCCAATCAGTTTACAGTATGGCGCTTTGCCTTTTAACGCACAAAATTCAATTTGCAATTCTCCCGTCTAGCTGCTAGACAATTCCTGCTGATTTAATCAAGAGAATTTGGTATTTTATGTAAGTGACGCCCATTAACTGATTCTCTCGACGTGTTTACAGAGTAATGTATCCATTTTGTTAGGAGAAGTTATATTTCAATTATCTGTGAGAGTTGAAGGATATACGAAGAGAGGATGAAGCTGAGGGACCGAATTTCGCATTTCTAATGTAAATACTTTCCTGTCTTGATATTTTTTAGGTTTTTCCCGTTTTCTTAGATCCCACAGGGATGCAAAAATAACCAATCAGGTGTCACGAATTTTCTCTTATGGACGTTCCCTGGGGTCCCCAGCTCGTTCTCCACCAAAACATACAAGTAACACGCGAGGTGCATGAAACGGTAATTCCAGCACGCCAAACAACTAGAAGCTAAACAGAACTTATAGTATTCCTTTTGGAAGAAGTCCCAAGTTGGTTCTTTTTTTCAGCTTGATCCTGTCGTCGTTCCACAAACTGCCTTATTCGTACCGAGTATCATTGACATCTTTGAGATCTTAATTCTTGAACTTGTGTTGATTCTATAGTTAAAGGTTTTATTGTTTTATTATCTTCTACTTGTAAATCAGAGAGAGTTATTTCGTGAGTAAATTCAGGGTTTTAATGGATCGATCCTAGCTTGTCTTTTCTTGATAACATAGTTCGCCGTAACATGTGCTGAGAACATTCACACATTTCGTGGCCGATTGTCCTCTCTCTGCAGACCAGCTGAGACCTGCTCTAGCTTTGGTTTTAGTTCACCTTATATGGACTCGGTAACTGTTTTTAGTGCGATACTAATATCACGTTTGTTAAGTTAGATTAATCATTTGATGGTGCTCAAGACCTTGAGGAGCTTCATCACGGCTAATGCAATTTGAAAAATGGGCCAAATTTTCAAGGTTTTCCACCATGTCAATCTTCTTTATTCTTAACAATCGTCGTTCTCTTTTGAGATATTCTGGCGTCTTTGGTATTTATTAGTAATAACAAAGTATTAAAGGTTTTTTCCGATTAAGATTGTGGAAAAATGTACGATTTATATCCGCAGATGGTCAACAACGTAAAAGTGCTCTGTTTTTTTGTATAAAAAAATTGTCTACTGGTAAGAGATTTATTCAAGCGAGGGTTTTGCGTTGAATTTCTGGGTTTTAGAAGAAAGGAAGATGGAATTAAAACATTCTCACATTTAAAGACTGTTTAATAGTGGTTATTATCCCATAAAGGTGACTGAGTTAGTGATGTGATATGTAATCTCTCTTGGTCCTCCTGCGCTTTACGCACTGAGAAATCTTCAGATACTTTCACCGTACCACATTTGGTTCTTATTAAGTCGTCAAGCGGGCCTTAAGTTTTAAAGGCCCTTCTGTAATGGTTTGGGGCTTAACCTTCCGTGCTGTATTCCGAGGCTCGGTTGACAGAGCCAATCAATAGGTTCAAGGGAGAGTGGCGCGAGTAAGGTTGGCCTTTAAGACTTAATGCCTTTCCTCTTGCATAACATTCTGGTCAAGTCAAACAGGCTAGAGGTGTCTTGATCTCCTCTCATATTCTCGGGATTACTGCTTATGAGTTTCTTTAATATGCAAGTCTCCTCCTTATACAGTAAAGTAACACTCAACACAACATCTACCAAATCGCTCAAATTCGCCATTCAGAACCACAGAAACGACAATACATAGCAAGTGAAGTAGGTTTTCATTTATTTTGAGCCTTAACATAGACATTCCTTGATATAAGTTTACGATATTACGACTCTTCAATATTCTCCCATACATTTCTTTATATTTCGAACAAACGACCAGACACGCCGCTTGCGTAGGCCCCCTGTGGTGGCTGTTTGGGTCATGAACGTAACACTTTGACATCGTTTATGGTGAAGTAATGGACAAAGAAAGAACGATCGGTGGAGGATTCTTAGAAATAGAAACACGACAAACGGTGACTTCACCTACACGCTTTCCGTTGAAGAGAATTCATTACCGATTCAGACGCCATCTTGATAATCGTTTCATAGTCTGAATGGCACAAAGGCCATCGTTTACGACACGTGAAGAGAGCAGCTGATTCATTGAAATGTTGACATCAAAAAATTACCCACTATCCCTCAAACGACTATTGCTGACATCGATGGTTCCGTGATAATCACCGTGAGGTACTTGTTATGTAAGCACGTCATTTCTGTTTTGCAGCATGAAAACTGCCATGCTGGTCTTTTGTACTTTGCTTTCCTGTTATCAACGGGAGGTATGTGAAACTATATCACCTTGAAATGGAATGTCTCAGTCGGGCAGGTAGCGGTCAGGTAGCCAGACAACGTATCGTACGGGATAATGCTTGCGATCACCTTTTTTTATGTGGCGTCACGGAAAATAAAAATGCGAGGTTTGAGAGGCTCGGGCAACAATGGTTCGCTCCGAACGAGGCTATAGAATAACTAATATATCTAAAGCAGGGTAGCAAAAGTTTGTTATCTCAGTGCTGGTCGTGGATATAAGTCGAGAGCTTCCTAACTGCCGTGTAAACTATTCTTTGATCTCTCACTTTTGATGCCATTGGACTTTGATACGATTTGCGTTACCTCTGCTGAGTACAACGCAATTATTCTTCATCTATTGGCAATGATATTGGCCTTTCATCCCTTGGTTGCGCCCATGGGCTGCCTACAGAGGTATGTTGTTATCTAAAACAGGCAAATAAACAAGAATAAACACTAAAAAACAACTGGATAGAATAAGCAAAACAACATGCAGTGCCGCTGGCAATCAAACGAACGAGATCGTGATGAAAAGTTGCATGTCTTGAATTTCTGCTCTGAGTAGTAGATGTGAGGAGATTGACAAGTGGGGAGCGTGTACGTGAATGGCCAGGGCCTCCACAGCACTAAAGAAGCGGCTAGGGGGGTGGGGAGGGGAGGGGCGGAGGGCATCCTAAAGGTTTGGATTATCTAGATATTGTTTGGGGTGTAAAGAAGCTCCATCAGATAATGATTCCAATCTTCACTCTACAGAACTTACACCACCTTATGACGAGGGAAGAAATAATGGACTATTTTGGTGTTTCAGAGTACAATGAAGGTGCTACCTTTCTATAATAAAAAATGGATAGATAGTCTAGTCTTCTCGGATAAGGACGAATAAACCGTAGGCCCCGTCTCCTACAGGGTTAGGGGTAGGAGACGTTAATTTCCCACGCACGGGATTAATGTGCAGTGGATGTCCTCCCCTGGGGTGGGATGGGTGGGAATTGGCCCTGAAAAGCCCCATGGGGAGTGGTGAACTAATGTATGTATGTATGTATGTATGTATGTATGTAATGAAGCATGCAGCAAAATGGGTCAAACGTAAATGCGGCGAAATTAGACTGACTGTTTATTTTTAATAATTTCCTCTTGTTTCATAACCTTTTAGTTCCAGAATACGACGTTGTTATTCCATATTCAAAAGAAAGTGGCAAATTCATCTTTCTCCCTCGGTCAAGCTCGACAAAGAAGAAGTGCAAAAGAATCTGACGTCTCGCACCACAAACTAGTCGCTTTCGGCTCGGAGCATTAATATTATATCAGACTAACTTGAAATAGTATACTACTGAATCATGGGCTCACCGTCGAGATTCAAAACGCCGATGAAACGATGACCTCACATCCTGCACCGGAAAATACGTTTTACTTAGGACACGTTTCTTCGGATCCAGGCTATGTGGTGGCCGTCAGCGAACTCGAAGGACTGGTATATAAAATTATTTTTTAGTTACTTTAGGTTTGGTTATTGTACAGACAATGGCACGAACCTCACACTTAACCAATCGCCAGACATAAAAGTAGCCCCAGCTAAAGAGATGAATTTTCAAACACACATTTTAAAATGGGAATGTAAGGTAGTCCATATATATGCTCTGTTTCCATCTTTCAGTTCCATCTTGTGGATTTTTAATTCTGCTTTGTTTGAACTAACACTCAGCTTAGTCATTGATCATAGTGTAAACTGTGATCTGGATAAGCCTGGCTAAGCCTGATTTCAAGCTAAGGAACATTGGCAGTTGAAATTATTATTATCTATGAACTTCTTACCCGACAGGTATCACACCAACACCATGTGATACTCTCCTTGCCCATCCCCTTCCCGCACGACTAACCAGACACGTGACTGACAACTACAAGACGTTACCGCATCTGGTGATCAAAAGGTCTGTGATGCCCAGACTTAGGCAGAGACATCCTTGGACAGTGGCATGAAAAAATATTTAGAAGCTGCATTGGTTGTTTTCACCGACATGGAGAAAAAATATGGCTACAATGGGGCTGTAAACAGACTCCCTGTCATGGCTAATATCGTAAGTATCCGTGAGGGCCTGGTATAATTCACGTGTGACTCACGTGCGAGTCACATGTGACTTGCGTGTTCCTCGAGCTGAATACGACATTGCGCTTTCACTACAAGGGTGCTTATAGATTTTCTTGATCATTAGGTTGCAGGTTTGTTTCAGGATGATTCCATTGGAGCCACAAAAATAAGATACAGCATCAACAAGATTTTGGTCCTGCGACCTGAAGAGGTAAAGGAATAATCAAGTCATTTAAACAAACCATTGCAAGGATTGTCCTTGTTTCTCACTGCTCGCGCCGAGTTAATGTATGACAAAATCCAGGTGAAACTGATTTTGATTTGAGGTAGCGCAAGGCTCGAGGAAAAACTTCGCAAGACTTTTTCGGGTTTACTTGGTCATCCAGGTAACACAAACTAAAATTAGTGCTCATTTTAGAACAATTTACATTTTGAATCTCTTTGTTTTGTTAGTTGGGAGTCGAAAGTTCTGATTCCAACCAATTGAAGCTGGTACGAATAATCAGATGGGTGAGAAGGCAGTATGGAAAACAGTGTCCTCTTGATGCCGTCACATTCATTTCAGAGTAAATACAACTGGTCATTCCTTCCTTGGTTTTTTTTCAGCTCCATAATGGCATTATACTACTCGACCTACTTGATGACAAGGGGTAGCCCGTTCAAAGCATTTAATCAATACATGTAACGAAGCAAGATAGTAGCTAAAAGAGTAAAAAGATGCGTAGTGAAGCCTGGGCCCCGAGCCCTTCCTCCCCCCCTCCCCCATTTTGTTTTTGCTCTGCGCTACTATAGCACCCTGGTAATTATCTGAAAGCTTGAGAAGGGTTAGTGCCGGGGAGGTCTGGGGGTCTATGACTTGAGGATATGTATAGAATAATGGTCTGCCTTCGAACCTGATAATTATGCTGCGCCCTTGGGTAAGATACACCGCTACCCACCATGAGGTGATATGGGTTTAATTCACCACATTGTGAGCGAAACCCGAAGAATTTGGAGTGACCACCAGCAATAGACTAGCAACAATTATCTATGAGTGGTGGTACTCTCATTTCAATTTTTAAAAGCTTTTAATCAGAATTTTTTTTCGTTTTTACTAGCGGACCTGATAGAGCTGGTGAGTTACATTGTTCCTTGTCTAGATCTTTCTTTATGTAATACTATTTAGACAAAATATATATTTGATTTTTAATTTTAGAATATCTTCTTTACAGTGAAGAGTATTGCTAACACATTGTGTCGTCAGATGACCGCGTCTGCTGTCACTGATAATGGACTGGAAACTGCTTGGTTCATTGTGTATGGGATTGGAAACAAGTAAGTAATGCGCCTGCGGATTTCCTTTGTTTTGTTTTTTTGAAAGAGCAAACTCTCGGCCGGTTTGCTTAGGAATATATCTCTTGGAAGATCAATTGAGATATGGATATGGAAGAAGCCACTCAGAAGGCTCTGAGTAATTCATGACATCCTGTAGGAAATTTGGGTCAATATGAAACACTTCGAGTCTCTTTGGCAACTGTTGTTGGGTCTTGTCAAGCAACACTCCCTCCCTCCCCCTCCCTTACAGGAAACACAGGGAATGCGGTAAGAACATACTAACTTTCAAATTTATCTAAAGAATGTGATCAACTCTAGTACTGATAAAGGTTATAAGGCTTAGGTCTCCCTATAAGGAACAACTCTTCAGTTGCATGGCAGCAGAAGAGCTTTCCTTGCAAAATCTTCTTCGGTGTCTTTGAGGTGAGGCCGGGTAGCAAAAATAGAGAACCTGAGCAAGAAATTGTTTATAATCACACTTGAGTTTTTTTTCTTGTATGACCCATGTGCAGTATGGGATTGGATCATGACGATGATAGCCCCTGATTGTCCCAACCACAAGTATAATATGTCGTTGGAGAAAAAAACAGCTACAACGAGTTATATGTGGTCTCCTTGCAGCAGGAAAAGAATTCAAGAATTTTCAAACTTAGGGTGAGTAACGAATTGCTCGTATACCGAGACTTGGTTTTGAAGGAAAGATGAATGTCATCGTCAGTCCATAAATTTCAGCTGAAGAAAAAAAGGGCCTTTTTAAAGCGATCATACAGAACGCTGTTTTTCTTTCTTCGTTCACGCGCCTTTTAATTCTTATCTCTCTATTATAAAGGAGTCACATCATTCTCAATTATTCAAAATACTCACAAGAAGTTTCTTGGGCCATGCTTAAATAGAGTTAACGTCCTTTTTCAGTAACCATTCATGGTGTCTTAACGACGCCCCAGTTTTAGCACATGCCCCAACCCCTATCCCCCAGGGGACGGAGGCAAGCTACCAGGCGAGATCATTAATGGAGACCAACAGTATGGAGACGCTTTTGGTGTAGATTTTAAACATGCTTCAAAGAAGCAACTAAGGGTAAGTATAATGGTAATGGGTGTGAACCGCGAATCTTGGATCCGATGAAACTGTCCGAGTCCTCTTTTCCCCGAAGTGTCTAAGAAACAAATTACGGTTAAAAAGTGTGAATCTTTCTTTGTTTTCGTCAACTTGGACAAATCGTTCAAAAATTGTTCAGCAATTTTTTGTCCATTTTGTCACATCTGACGTTGTATAAATACTCGTTTTCCTTGAGAGAAAAGGGACTATCTCAGCTTCATACTACAGTTACTGCGTCCTACACATTGGACACAAAAACGGTCTTACATAAGGCCCTATTTGGGTCTCGTGGACACTCTGTCACTTCAGCAGTACCTTTTTCCATCCAGTCCCTGTAAATTATATGATATAGCGTAATTAGAATAGTATAGTAATTTTAGCATTGAAGAGCCAATTCAATTTTGGAATGCTAATAAACCTTTATTATTATTTATTATTATTATGCAGCAGTTTAAAACTTTTGTATGCTATATACAATAAGAATAGTATGACGGGGCGCATGAGCGTAGCCCGTTAACTATAGTGAAATCAAAATCTATATACTGAACAAAAAAAACAAACAAACAAGAACATAAACCCTCGAGAAATAAAAAAGGTAAGCTATTTCGGGTATCCAAATCTAAAATAGTCATTATAAATTCTTTAAAAAGCTATTACTTATTTCGGCTATGAAAGAGTTAATCAGTGACGATCACTTCCTAAGTTTCTAATAATAATTATTGTTATCATTATTATTATTATTATTATTATTATTATTATGGTTGTTCAAAGGGCGGATAACGCTATCCAAAGGACAAATCCCTAACCACCGTATAACTGTTAACAAAAATTGCTGCCCTATCTACCGGATAGAAATTAACCGCCTCCCGGTTAGCTCAATGGATAGAGCGCTGGACTGTTGTGTGGGAGGTCGAGGGTTCGAGCCCCGGCCGGACCAACACTCAAAGTCTTAAAATAATTGAGAAGAATATGCTGCCTTTCTATAATATCAAGAAATGGTTAGATATTCTAGTCTTCTCCGATAGGGACGAACAAATGGAGGTCCCGTCTCCTGCAGGGTTAGGGGTAGGAGACGTTAATTTCCCACGCACGAGTTTACTGTGTGATGGATGTCCTCCCCTAGGGTGGGATGAACGGGTTACTGGGCCCGCAGTGATTGGCGCAAAGCTGTTGCTGCCTGTCGGCAAATTTTGTAAATAATCTAGTGAGTAGCGTTATCAACCTTTCGAACAACCGGGGCAAGGAGTACAAATATGTAGCGAGAGGTTGTCATGAGAATCTGACAAAATTTTAGGGGGAGTATGGGGAGGGGTAAACTGCTATTGGCTAGCATCCCGTGCAGAGGGTAGTAACGAAAGAAATGGATAAGCTGCGGCGGCTAATTATGTCTTTCAGTATTGCATAAAGACTTTGTAATTAATTGTGGTTGACATCACTTTTACCGACATTTTTGTTCTGTAATTAAAACAGCAAGACTGCAGAACACTGTGGTATGACAGTGGTAAAGGAGCTGTTCTTTCTGCTGATTCAAGAGTTGCTGATGGCACAGACTGTGGAGTTAACAAGGTAACAACCGTGTTTTTTATACAACCAGGCAATAACAAGAGAATGAGGTAAACGAGAAAGAAAGAGATGCTTCAGCTGCGTGTTTTTTGACGAATGATGTATGGCTTCTGAACTCTCGTTCAGCTCACTGATTGGTTGATACTAGTTGAGAAGTTTTACGTCCAAATATTTAACAGGTTATAAAACGAACAATAGAAAAGATGTATGAAATCAGCATGGTATGATAAAAAAGATGGATATTTGGCAAAGGAACTAAATGTAACTAGTCACAACTGGAATCTTTCTTCTTCTTTTTTTACATTTGTTTCTCAAATGTCTTCAGTGATGTTTGAATGGATCCTGTGTGGTAAGAGACGAGGCATAGGAGATTAAAAAATGGTCTCCTTGTTCCCGGAGTTGTGAGGGAGGAGTCCAGTTTAAAGAAAATACATGTTCATCCGTCAGGTGCATTGTAATGAATATTTTGGTCATTGATTATTTTTAAAGTGGAATTGAGGTATTGGAGGATCGCGGTTGATTAGTGCTTAAAGCGCCAGCCATCGAAACGAGAAGTCTGGGTTCGAGTTGTGGCTGGATTGAGCGTCGAAAAAAGCGGTGATGGTTCCAGAAAACCTGTGCCTCTTCCTCGACCAATCAGATTCAAATTGCATCTTAGTCGCCGGTGTTTTCCCCCGCTTCAAGCAGTCTGCTTGTTTTTATGTTTTTTCTTTCTTCTGAATGGTTGTTGTGAACTTGTCAGCTGCTGTTTGTTTATCATCCACGGAACTGATGGGAACACGCAACACTCATGTAAAGGAACTGTTCGGGAATGGAGAATCTGCTGTCGCCTTGTTAGTGAGGAATAATTTTTAGCTATTAAAAATTAAAAAAATTGTGGTTCAGCAACATGACGAATAAAAATTACTCTCTTAAAATATTATTTTATTTGCTTGAAACCGAAAAAAAAGTACAAAGGTTTCAAAATGGGACGGGACTTTTTCCACCGAAGAATAATTTTATTAAACAGAAGTAATTTTTTTCGTTCGCAAAAAAACACAGTGAGCTTAGACAATACAATACAATATAAACTTTTTTGACATTTCAATAAATGGCTTTTCCATGCCAATTTACAAAAACTGAAAAATTTACAAATATATATATATAAAACGATCATCTTTCGATCGACTTTCAACTTCAACTTTCAATTTGATAATATTTAACAACTATTCACCGTAGTGGAGGTGGTTAGTGGTGGATCTTTACCGAGCCGCGAAGCGGCGAGGTAAATATCCACCGCTAACCACCGACACTGAGGTGAATAGTTGTTTTAGTATATACTACATCACCAAAAATTGATTTGAGTGATTTCTTCGCTTGTCACGGATGCAAACTGGGACGCCATTTCTTCCCGAGTTGCTCGGAGGTAAATAGCAAAAGATATTCGGAGTTTGACTAGCCAATCAGAGCGCACCTTCAACGCTACCCACTGTTTTAGTTTAGAACATAGCTAGCAGAGTCGCGCAGTCAAATTCATTATACGTAAGCGTGCTCAAAATCCCGATAGTGCACGCTGATAGCGTCAGCAAATCTGACTTTGCCAGAAAGTTTTTTTTCGCGCGAGCGGCCATTGCTAGTGCGGGGAAAAACAATACATTTCGCGACAATAATGGATACAAACAGAAACTCGGCCTGCTAGTCCGAAAACGAAGACAATGTTTCGACCTTTTCCCATGGGCTAGAGTTCTTAAATGAGGCAGAAAAAGAGAAAAACAAAGGAAAAGGAGACTCGGCATCAGCGCCGTCACGATTCGCTTCAACTGATATTGTTGTCCGTTTTTCGCGTCGCATTTGATGCACAATTCCACCGGCTATGTTCTAAAACAATTGGTTCATGCTTTCAGCTGTGCACTATCGAGTTATGGAGCACGCGGGAAGTTTGGAGAGCACTCAAGAAGCTAGAGTTGCCCTCGGCTATCGCCTCGGGCAACTCTTACGCTTCTTTCGTGCTCTCCAAACTTCCCGCGTGCTCCATAACTCGATAGTGCACAGCTGAAAGCATGAACCAATTGTTAAATATACTAATACTTGAATTAACCACAGCCGTGTCCGGGGAGAAGCCACACGAGTTACAGAGACTCACAGTGTCGACAGAGAAAGGCTGGGCACAAGGGAATGATCTTCCAATTAGGTTAGACTAATCACTTTTCAGATGAACGAGAAGACTCAAAAATTAGTTTCGTTGGAAATAGTTGAAGAAAGCCTCTGAAAATATATTGCATTTTATCTTACGTAGAGGACTGTTAACTTTCGATTATGACATCGAAATTGACTTCCGTGAAAGAGCTAACAGCAGAGAGTCCTTTTCAGGGCTATAATCAACTTTCAAAATATTCTCTGTCCAGTTTCATTCTAACTTTTTGTCCGACGTCTTGCACCGACCCGCTTCATATGGCTCGGTCACGTGCACCTACTGATGTTCCCTCACTTTTATTCCGTCAAGATCCTTGTGGTCTGTATTGTGCATCAGGACGAAGATGGCACAAAGCTGGTAACCGTTGATGATGGAACGCGCTGTTCAAGATATGGTTTCGATGTCTGTATTCAAGGCCGTTGCAAGGTAACACGCGTCATGTATGTTGGCTTTCATCTTCCCAAACTGAGCGAAAAACCCGTCGCTTTACTTCTAGGCAAAACATTAACTGTAAATTAATCAAACTCTCCAATTACATCCCTTTATTTTCCATATTATGACGACCATTCAGATCTGATAATTTATCCTCGAGTCCTGATAGACGATATGATAAAGGAGAGCAACTATGTAGATTATTGGAATTATTTTGAAAGCAAGCATACAATGGCTGACCCCATTTCCCCTGCTTTTTCCCGCCTCCAGCCCTGCTCCTAGACCATTCGTTTTTACGAATCGTTATGAATCGTTTCTTGGTACTGACCATGCTTAATCCATTTCAGTCGGTCGGCTGCGACCATGAGCTGGGGTCTGGTGCAAGGTTTGACAGATGCAGAGTCTGTAACGGAAATGGTACATCATGCACACATGTGACTGAATACTTTACAGAACAATGGAATAAACTCGGTGAGTCCTACGTAACGTATCATGGGAGCCAGTCAGTCAACAAGAGTTCTGTTCCATACCTGTAATAAGAAAATGAATGCCACAAGAGTGTAATAGTGAAACTACGTTAGAAATCTCTCTTTTTCTTGCTTCGATGATTATATTTTTTACAAACCTTGAGTTCAGAATATATCAAATGCAGGTTCCAAAGACAAGGACTGTGCCCCTTTAGATAACAATTATTTGCAATTTCTTTTTTCAGGACCAAGAAACGCGCGTCTTCTTGTGGAACTACCAATGGGAACTTTAAATGCAAAGTTCAAAGAAATTTAAAAGACAGCCGATGCCATTGGTCAGTGAATCTCAGGAAAATACACATTTTGGTTTAATTTTAGTCCTTAATAGTGAAGGTCTCTCAGACGGGTGGGGGGTGGGGGGGGGAGGAAGGTCCTTGTTCCCTTCCAAAATTGTCCTTTGTTCCCATGTTCCCACACTGTTTTTCCTTGTTTGTTCCCCGTTTAATAAATTTGCTTGCCACTTATCACCGCCCTTAATTCCCTCCCGCAATAAAGAAAGACACCAAAAACAAAACTTATAAAAGAATAGAATACATTTTATGAGACGTTCAATTTGTATGACATCATCTCGAACAACTGAGTGAAATTCAGAATCCATCAGAGTGGGATGAGCTGTAGAACTGACCTTTATTCTCCTGGTCAACATTGTAATACATAAACTCGTCCAAATTTGTCCTCTTCCTTGCGGTCTTTATTTCTTATATCACAATATTTTCTCCTGTAGTTTGTACAGTTTTGTTACCCTGTTCCTTAAAAATAGGCTTATGTTCCCTTGTTCCCTTCAATATTTTGCCAATGTTCCCTTGTTCCCCAAAACCCCCTGGGAGACCCTCAATAGTTAGCCTACGTGCAGGCCTAGTCTTGTAACCCAGATTTTACACGGCCAAAAGGTTACATTTCAGTTAGGGTTACACGGTAGGGTCTGGGTTCCGCAAGACACCTGGCAGACCTCTCAGGCCTGATTTTCACTATTGCTCAAATAGTGCTTTACTGCGAAGGATCGTTCTCATATACGTCTCATAACCGCAGTTCACACACATGTTTCATATGTTTGTTGTTGTTTAATCACTTTTTGTCGGCAAAAATTAACCAAGCGGGAGGTCAAAATGGCTGGATATTGGCCGTTTATTAATTTTTTTTCCGTTTCTATAGCCCAAGGCGAAGTCGAGGTCCATAAAAATGCAAAATATAAACAACCAGGCTAATATCCAGCCATCTCGATCCAACAAGCTTGATAAATAGAGGATTTATTGTGTAGCATATAGATTTCTCTTTAATAAGAATCAAGGGAGACTTGTTTATTTCGAGAGCCGAGAAAGAAAGCCCAACGGAGTTTGTGGCACCATAGACCCACGAGAGTCGTTAATGTTCTCCTTGTTTTGACTGTCTTCAGCCGATTTTTGCGACTTCATCGCCGACATCGTGCAAAAGTTACGAACTTTGCAAGTCCGCTTCACGTACTTTTTTTCTTGCATAGGATCAAAGCGGGCAATCTAGAGTGGGTAATATGGGTCCATCTTGCCCGTTCGAGTAGCCAATCAGAGCGCAGGATTCGCATTGTATCGCCCACAGGCGCTGCCAGCCATGTGATAATTAATTTAAAAACTAGATCATTGGATAATGCAATTCATGACTTTTTATTGGCTTAGCCATTATGGTATATCAGCCAATATACCATAATCTACAAATATGGCAAGCGTACGTGTCAGCTTAAAATTAAAAGGGAGCTCAAAAAATGTAAGATTTGGTAAGATTTGTCTAATATCTTGGGGGCGTTTTTAATAAAACAATTATTCCACGAGCGCTTGTTGGATATGAGATGATTATAGCCAACTCGGCGCTACGCGCCTCGTTGGCTATCTATCATCTCATATCCAACGCGCGCTCGTGGAATAATATTTAAATTATTATAACTGAATAACATTTTGCCCTTTACAGGTGTTCAAAATTCTGCTGGTCGGTACCTATCAAAGGGAAATGGTCGCTCACCTCGAAAAGGGAAAATATTTCATGCAGCAGGAGCCAGGATATCTCTTTATCAACCGAAATCTTCATCTCCAGATTAGCTGACCATAGAAGGACCAACCACTGCTTCTCAAAGGGTTGTGGTAAGTTAGTCGAAGTATCAGGTAACCATTGAGGTTCTAGTCTTGGTGTTGGTGTGTCAGGTTAAACACAGCGGTCAAACTCCTGCGCATCTGCATCTACGAAGTGCTCAATATGAGCTCTGTGATCGATGCCCAGATAAGCAATTATCTCCTCTCCGGTAGAGTTTCAAACGTGCCAATGGGTCTCAGCAGACCATTTTTTTTTCAGTTGATAAGGAATGGTAGGCGAGGAACAAAAAGAGTGCGATACCCTTACCGTACTCACTCATTCATTCATTCATTCTTTTATTCGCACTATTTCAAGAGGTTATAGTAGAGATTGCTATAGATTACAAAAGTCAGAATTTATAAGAACAGTAAATTACATGAATAATCTAAAGTAAAATGTGCACAGTGACCATGAAGTAAATACCACTTTTGAGTGGAAAACCAGCGATTAGTCTCTTTGCTCAGTATCTTGTTCTTCAGGTGAATGTGGGTTACATCGAATGTATCACGCTGGGAAATACAAATGTCTTACAATCTGCATGTTGATCAAATCAAGATTCAGTTCTGCGTCTCCTGTCCTATTTTCCATTTACTCGCCGCCTTAATCTCTGCATACAAAAAGCAGCCATAGCCATAAAGTTTATTAAAAGATTCTCTTTGGTTCTATGCGTATGAACTTTTAATAGAGAATTCATCGAATCACCAGATTTACAAACACGAGAAATGTGGTGTGTGCGATCAGATGACAAAACACCGGCCAGTGTCGCTGCCCGTGGCAACCAGAAAATGCCTATGAAAAATAGACGCTGTAATGAGCAGGCATGTAATTAGAAATAGATATCACCATGACAGACAAGGAAAGATGCAGGACAATTTCTTTGAAATTTTTTTAAGAAATGTTTCTTAAACGATTTGACACTTTTTTGTTGATTTACGTTATTTTTTTTTATCAGTTATCAGTTTAGTTAAAATTGGAAAACGACTTCTTCTGTGTTTTAAATTCCCTGATTCATTTCTCGAATTAAAAAAATGTATATTAATTGTATTTCAATCTTTTCAAGAATCCTATTTTGTAACTATATTCCAATCATGCATAAAGGAAAATGACGTTTAAAACCGCATGCGTCACTGGACGAACGTGTTTCCTACGCAATACGAGGGTGCTTGAATTGATTTTAATCATATTTGAAATTATTCTAGTTAAAATATAAAAATGAAATCGAACTTAAAATTTATTTCAAAGTCAGAGATAAAATTAACGCTAAGCCACTTAAACGTCTCAGAGTTCTTTTTTATTTGTATGCGGAAGAGGGTGTTATTTCCTTAACTAGTTCAACGAAGTTTATTATTATTCACGGAAAAACCGGAAAATATTTCACGCAAACGCGCTGAAAGCGGAAAGGCAGGGCCGGATAAACACAAATTTCGATGCAATATATGTTTAATTACTAAGCTTTTGTCAGAGGGACTTAGCAGGTTAAAGAGCACATACTGATCCATCTCCTTTAAAAACAATTATCTACGCCAAATTTGAATACTTCATACGTGATGTTACGAGAAAAATATAAAGGTCTTCCTAGGGTCACGCTAAAAATTCAAGACTTCAATTGATTCAAAGAGGAGATCGACTCGCGCGGTGTTGCCGAATGCAACAAAATGGCGCACAACCTATCCTACATTTCATCTTCAAACTGCTTGTTTTTGGACACAAACCTTCAGCCTTTGCCTTACATCAGTGTAGCAAATATAGTGGCCTGCGTTGTGAACGCGATTTTTGCGTTCATTGCCGCGTCATCGAACGCTATCGTATTGATATCCGTGTGGAAGTCACCAAGCCTTCATACCGCACAGAATACTCTCCTATGTTCAGTGGCCCTTTCTGATTTCCTTGTTGGCGCTGTGCTTCAACCTTTAGACGTCGTTCAAAGAATTATGGAGGAGAAACAAAACATTGAGATCTACTGCAGTATTCGTTTGGCCAAGAACTCTTTGGCTTGGATAATATCCAGTGTATCATTTTTTATTTTGACATCTATAAGTTTGGAGAGACTTGTGGCACTCTTAAGACCCCTTCATCATGACAGGCTGGTTACTCACCGACGTATCTTGCGCTTGGTGTTTAGTTTTTGGGTCGTTTGCATAACGATTTATATGCCGAGATTTTTTGGTCTTTCAAACACGACATTCCTTTTTATAGCCTCGATCCTCGTTTTTGCAAATTTGACCGTCATCGCTGTGAGCTACTTTAAAATATTTCAAGTCATCAAGTTCCATCAGCGAAGAATCGATCACGAAGCGAACTTGAGGAGCCGTTTTCACGGCCCGAAGGCCGACGGGGACATGAAACGGTATAAAACGTTTACAGTAACAGCAGCATATATAGTAGTGCTTGTTGTTATGTTCTATGTCCCATTTTTTTGTTATCTCGTCGCCTATGCCATTCTTGGATTTACCGGACCGGTTAAGTTAACTTATATTTGCATAGAGACATTATCTTTTGTTAACTCTTCTGTAAATCCTTTTGTATATAGTTATCGCTTGAGAAATATTCGTCAGGCAATTTTAAGAACCTTGAACTTGGCGAAGCCAATGTCTCCCGGGAGAAATTCCTTTAGCCGCCGTTGCGAGGAAGTGGATACTCGTAGCAGACATGTACCTAGTTAAAACTAGCGTAAAGAGAAGATACTCGGCGATTATTTCCATGAAGGAATTTCGATTTGTCGTTGAGAAATACCTTAAGATAGAATAAAACCTTGAAAAAAAAAATATTTGCTGGGATAGACGAACAACCGAAAAAGCTAATAATAATCCGAAAAAGAACTCTTATGACTAAGAATTGCGTTTATTGACACCGAACGGAAATTACGAACTTTCGAAGTTAATGTCACGATCCAAATTTAAACTGTGAGGTGACCTAAAGACATATGAACTCAAGTGTAGGCAATCGAATGGGGTCGAATAGCAATTGTGGATTAAAATTACGCGTGTTTCAGAAGTTGCAGAAATGTCCCAAGTCGTGCACTTCTAGGCAATCCTGAAAACACAAGTGATATTGTTCGGAAGCGAAACGGGAAATCCAAACAAACACTTTAATTCCAACACGGTAAACTGTAGACTCACGGTAAACGACAACGAGCATTAAATAAAAACTGCTACTCGATAAACTCAAAACTTTTCAACTCAACTCTAAAAAATCGCACACGTCAAAATTAAAAGGTCCGCGTGATTTGCTTACGATATTATTAGCCTACGTAGTCCCAAAGCACGCGCACAAGTTTATTAACGTCTTCTTAGCAGGTATAATTAATCCTTAATTTTACGAGTAAACACACGATTTATACTTGTTTATAACATAAAGGGTAAAATTTTCTAGAAGGTAAAAAACGCACGCCGTTTGCAATTTCGTGGCGAGCCATTTCAGTGTTCAGTTAGCGTCAATGAATGAAAATCTTTTACTGCAACAACACCAAACCACAATTAAACCAGCCCTGTTAAAAAAAACATTCGCAATCAATGACAATACTTGAGGGCAAAGTTACGGATTTTTTAATTTTTAATTTCAAGCCAATCAGTATTTAGTAATTTTGCCCTCGATGTTGACTAGGAGATGAAGAATTGATAACAACCTTTTTTCAAAAGTTGTTAACCGGCCATACCATCTCGACAGCAAAAGTGGGAAAATAATTAAAAACACTGAGGCAGGCGACAATAAAAAGAACAGTAATAAAACATTAAAACAAAAGTGAAGTCAGGCAACAAACGAACATATGTTCCTTTTGTTCAAGAATGCAATAATGCAGCATGTTGAAAGAAGGTGTGTGTAATACTGACGCACAATGCAGAATAAGATTGCCGCAAAATGTAATGCAATTACTTGTAAGCGTTTAAAGAGTTCTTTTAGTCACCGAATTGAAAGATACTTCAGTATTTAGAGTTTACGAGAAAACCTTAAAATCTTTTAATTTGATTCACGTAATGTACGATGAGGAACAGAACTAAGTTGAGTACAAGTCATTCGAGAGCTATTACATTTAACAATTATTCCACGAGCGCGCGTTGGATATGAGATGATAGATAGCCAACGAGGCGCGTAGCGCCGAGTTGGCTATNCTTATGTCTTCAACATCGGACGTTCTTCGGGAATGCAACGGAAACAGCCGAAGCGTTAATGGAAGATACGAATGTCAATTTAGTGTCCTGTACAGCAAGTATGGAATCAGTGCGCAAACTGTGAACACAGTCACTGTGAAATATCACTGTCGTAAGACCTGAGAGACAAACCGGAGAAGTTACAACATTTTTTTTCGCAGTTGTTTTAATCACTCACATTCGCTATGTTTGGACTCGAATCACGATACAATGGATGGAGTGCATGATTTCTCGTTGTTTTTTTCGTATGCTTTTTTTTCTCTTTTGTAGTTTGTTACTCAGAAACATTGGCTTTGTGATGAGTATGCTTTTAAAAAGCAGTTCGAACAGACAAGTTTATGTTTTTACGTTATATGTTTTCCAAGAAATTTATCAACAGGCCTTGACGTCGTTTACTATCCCCGCGTCCTATTGAGGTCAGTTAACAGGACAAATTAGACCTCCTGGAGTAGTTTTAACATGGAACATATTCATGGTGCATGCGATGACGAAGATCACAGGCGGAAACGCATTTAAGACGCACTGGATATTGACGCAGCGAACGCTAGAATGTTTACGACCAAAATTAATTGAATAATTTGGATATATCAACAAAGTTGAAATGGTAAATTGGCCACCGTAATGATTACAAAAGCTGACGTTTCGAGCGTTAGCCCGTTAGCTCCGACGAAGGGCTAACGCTCGAAACGTCAGCTTTTGTAATCATTACGGTGGCCAATTTACCATTTCAACTTTGTTGATATATCCAAATTATTCAATTAATTTTGGTCGTAAACATTCTAGCGTTCGCTGCGTCAATATCCAGTGCGTCTTAAATGCGTTTCCGCCTGTGATCTTCGTCATCGCATGCACCATGAATATGTTCCATGTTAAAACTACTCCAGGAGGTCTAATTTGTCCTGTTAACTGACCTCAATAGGACGCGGGGATAGTAAACGACGTCAAGGCCTGTTGATAAATTTCTTGGAAAACATATAACGTAAAAACATAAACTTGTCTGTTCGAACTGCTTTTTAAAAGCATACTCATCACAAAGCCAATGTTTCTGAGTAACAAACTACAAAAGAGAAAAAAAAGCATACGAAAAAAACAACGAGAAATCATGCACTCCATCCATTGTATCGTGATTCGAGTCCAAACATAGCGAATGTGAGTGATTAAAACAACTGCGAAAAAAAATGTTGTAACTTCTCCGGTTTGTCTCTCAGGTCTTACGACAGTGATATTTCACAGTGACTGTGTTCACAGTTTGCGCACTGATTCCATACTTGCTGTACAGGACACTAAATTGACATTCGTATCTTCCATTAACGCTTCGGCTGTTTCCGTTGCATTCCCGAAGAACGTCCGATGTTGAAGACATAAGAATATGTGTTCCGTTGTAGAGGTTGATGTTCACTTCGTCAATTACGAATCGTGCGGCTGGTGGAGAACATTTTAAGATGATCGGAAACGTGGATGAAATCACTGTAGAGTTAAATGGAAATTGTGAACGGGCGAGCAACTAAATACGTAAAATGGTAAACGAGTGAAGAGACAAATTAACAAGTAAACAAGTTGGTAAAATGAAGAGAAAAATAAGTTGGTAAAATGAAGAGAAAAATAAGTAGTCAGGTACGCAAAGAAAGTAAACACGCGAGTGGTCAAACAGGCAAACAAGTAGTCAAGTGAACAAACGATTAAAGAAGCAAACAAATACACAACATTATCGACAAACGGTACTTCTTACCCGTGCAGGGTCTGCTATGTGGACCAACACAGTCCATAGTGGTCAGCGGATCTCCAAAGCACAGTCTTTTGCGCGACAAGGTTGGAAATTTTGCACAGTTCAAATTTGCCAACCAGTGACAAGACGCGTTCGCACAATCCCTCTTCACCTTCTCGCAAAATGATTGGCAGGGAGGTAGCGGTTTCCCATCCGAGGTGCAGTGCGGTGCCAGCAGAAAACAGACGAACCTTTTCAGATGTTGAGAGCACTTTGACTTCATAAGTAAACTCATCTCTTTTGAAGCGAGGGTAGTATTCACCTCTGTTTGGCTTGTGTGGTTCAGAAGGTTTGGCAAAATGGTGCTGGTGTAATTAAGACTTCGGCAGTATGGAATCATTAGGGGCTGGCAGTGTGACTGTGTCGGAGAAACGGCTGTTGCTGGATGGGAAGACAAAATAAATGTAGTCAAATTATGGGTTTCTTTCTTTGATTAGGAAGTAACTTTTGGTCTTCTTACCGGAATACGGAGAGGGGAATAGGACGAGGGTAATACATGGTAAGACTTTTGTCTCATAATTTTCATAGGGATTCAATGACAGTTGCTGCTATTTAAAGGTGTCAATTCAATGGCTGTAACAAATGAGTTTTGAAAACGCTTGGTGCAAGTAGGTTGTGACAGTATATGACATCATATTACTAGGGAACACAAGGTCAAGCAATAAGGGTGATAGTAGTATTTTTCTTCCAAGGAGTAACTCGCAAAATGAATATTTTACCGCATTAAAACGCGAAAACAGCAGCACCTGCTCTCCTCTCTAGCAAGTTTGATAGCAACACTGACATAACCTTAGAAGTAAACAGTGTGTACCTCACCTTTTGGATTCTGAGGGTTTGGTTTCAAACAGAAACCTGACCGATTCAAAGGGAAATCAGGCCGTGAACATTTCATGACATCTGGCCAATGAAATCCAGCTCGCAACATAATAGGTTCGCAGCCCCTCCTGGCTTCCTCGCAGACCTCTCGACATGGATGGATCATCTCGTTCACGTTGATGACGCAGGGAGGTATATACAGCGTACACAGAAAAAAACGAAGCGCCGGGGAACACTTTGTTTGCACCAGCGGATAAAATTCCTTAATCCGTAACTTGGCTTCGTTCTGCGTTTCGTCCTTGAAAAAGTTTGGCATCTGAACAAAGGTATAGCCCAGGTCCTTACACATATCAGTGTTTAGTGGATCACATTTCTTTGGTACCACATTTGGTTCTACTACTGCGACGAAAAAGGGAAAAAAACTTCTTGAGTACCATAACCCTAAAAAAGTCCACGCCCTGGAAGTCAAGACCCTTACTGGCGCTAAAGGAAGTGACATTACAGAAAGGTGCGTTTCTAGCGAAAGCTTTCCAAAAGAAAGTTTGTGCTAGATAAAAGATAAAAAGGTCCTAGCCGATACCCCACCAACCATTTGAACGTTTCCATCCTTCCTGGAAGAATGCTTCCCTCTTCACTCTTACTTTTGTACAAGTAAGATTGAACGTATTCGTGGGTGTTACCTTGTGTTATGGTGCCGTCGTCGCTAACACAGGTCTTGTCACTGGGATCAGGAAATGAACTGCATCTGAATTTATAAGGCCAACCGAACCCGTTCCTCTTTAGCCAAGGCTCACAGTCACGTTGGGCCGCGCGGCATACGGAGCGACAAGGGGGTGTGACAGTGTTAGAGTCATTGGCACATGGTGTGAAATACAATGAACACAAAAACACGTGAAGCACTTTTGAGCAGTTTGATTGGATCGTACGGGTGAATTGCGAGAACTCGTGCCCAGCTTCGTCGTGAGTCCTCTGATTGAAATAGTTCGGCAGCTGTGTGTAGTTGTAACCGATATTTTCACACACTTGACGGATGCGTGCGCAGTGACTGGGGACTTGGGGCGAGTTCGGTGACTGATCTGTTAAATCACGGTTTTGGCTTGAAGCATTCTTGTTGTCTGTAAAAGCATGGATGGACAGGGAGCATTTTGACCAGTCATTATTTATCACCTGAAAGGGGGGGGGGGGGTTGAGTGAAGGATTTTGGTTGTGTCACGATAAAATGTACTAGATAACCCCATAAGGCTCTGCAATATCCTAATGATCGTCCTCATCGGCATTTAACTGGGAGTCAAATTTCTATAGTCCCCTCTTTATACTCCATTGGTGACGACTAATTCCCCCTTCGTTATCCCCTGAAAACCTAGCTCTTTCAGGGGTTCAGTGAGTGAAACGAAATATGATAATAGTGGAGGAGTGAAAAAACGAAAGAGGCTTGGGTCGAGTCGCGTTAAACCCGATACCTTACTTATTAGATACTTACCTGTCAACGTCTTTACTTTTACCCAGCTGGAGTAAACTCCTCTCAATTTTCCATTGTTCATCAATGGCGCAACTTTTATCCTGTATCGTGTCCCTGGCCGAAGGTTGGTAAGGTTAAACTGGTTTATCTGTGGTTCAAAAAAAGGTTTCACACAATTTATATACCAGATGCAAAGTAAAGGCAGAGTAAGTGGTTCGTTTAGTACAGTTTTTGTAGCCTCGGTGCATAGCCAGGTGGTCTTCGTAGTAAGTGGAGTGAGATGATGTAGTTCGACGCGGTTGGTGTCGTTGGTTCCGTTGGGCGCACTCAACCTAGTTCGATGTATTTCGTGAAGTTGGCCTAGCTGATGTTCAAGGCTGAGCTGATGTTGTTGTGGTAGTTGGTATAGTCCGTGTAATTAACTGAAGTTGTGTAGTGTGGTATAGTTGATGTAACCAGCGCTTACTTTGTAGAGACCCTACTCTACATTCGCGGTAGTTCATCTCCTTTATTTGTTTGAGCAGGTTGAATTATGGCAGCTATTTGCTGATGTGGACCTGCTATCTTCCCACCCATCCCATCCCAGGGGAGGACATCCACCACACAGTAATCTCGGACGTGGGAAATTAACGTCTCCTACCCCTAACCCTGCAGGAGACGCTAGACGGGACCTACGGTTTATTCGTCCTTATCTGAGAAGACTAGAATATCTATCCATTTCTTGATATCACATGTACAAAATACTCATCAGAACTTATCAGTATATACTCTATCAAGTGATACAGAGTAAAACTATTCATCAAAATTAAAATGCTGTCATCAAAACAAAAAGTAACTTACGAAAAGTTCAACATGGGTTCGTCTCTTGTGTTGAGTTTGTACTGGGACGAAGACAAGACTGTACCCCATCAGAGAATTTGGACTAACCACGGGCGGGTCCCATGTTAGTCGCAGAGAAGTAGGAGATGAAGCCTCTACTTTAAGCTTTATAGGGGTACTTATTGTCCCTATGGGAATATAAAAGAATGTTAAAAAGTAACCGTCAGCAACTCGCGTGGAGGCAGTGTGGCTGAGGGGTAAGGCCACTGGACTTGTTAGCTGGCGGTCCCGGGTTCATGTCCTCCACCGTGCTACTGGATTTGTTCACGGTCGCTCCGAATTCAGCTCCACGGCTGCGCTGTGTAAATAGCCAACTTAATTGCCTCCTGTCAGGCGGTATTTTCAAGCGCTTAATGTTTATTTGAAAATGTTTTTCTCCGGCTCTCTTTCGTCTTTAAAAGCGCTTAGAGGTATGCAATAAGCGCTATATTTATATATTAAGTGAAATCACATATGATAAGCCGTTTACAGCTCAACTGATCGAAATCTTAAAGTAGGCAGGGGATGACTTTTGCAAATGTCTCACTGTTTAGTTTCTTTAATATGGGTGTGCAAAGCATTTGTGTCGAAAATTCTGGTGAATTTTTATGATTTCGTTTTACCTTGAAATAACTCAACAAGTAATAACCTTGCTGACCGAGAAATGATCTTTGTGGATGACCCAAACGAAGAGAATTGTGATGACAAGAAACGAAATACTACAATCCCGAAAATATCAGTCTACCTTTATCATAATACCTCGCCGAACAGGAGGAAAAATATTAATTAATCAAAAATTTGACTTGGGTGTTTGCTAGTAGTTTATGTCGGAGATCTTTTATCAACTCCTTGCTGGAGATTTTTGACGCCTTGTAGGAATTTAAGTAATGATTTGTAAATTTCAAGCTTTCTCTTTGAAGTGATTCTCGTGAACATTTAATTTTAATATTAAAAAACGCACAACCCAGGCTTTTTCGTGGGTAAAAGGCTGATAGTTTCGAAAGAAACTGTTTGGGGCTGCGTCGGTGGGAGTAACGAAATAATTTGGATATATCAACAAAGTTGAAGTGGTAAATTGGCCACGTAACGATTACAAAGGCTGACGTTTCGAGCGTTA